TAGAGATTAATATATATATATATATATATATATATAACTGGGGCATTGCCGTGATCTTATAATAATTATATCTTTTGCGTTTTATATATGAAATTTATCTGTAATTCCTTTAAATCTTAGTTAGAAATGAGTTCGGTTCTGCTAAATCACGAAACTAAGAAGTCAAAACAAAATTGAAGAACAGTTTCATTAAAAATGAAAAAAAGAGTAATGCATATTAGTTTCAATCATCATTAAAATTTTGAATTCATACTTCAAAAACATCTCTTGATAATTAATATTTTAAAAAATTAGCAATGTAATATTCTATTAATATAAATATTGCTTGTTTATTTTTAAATTGATTTAATATTTACAATCATTAGATTAAAAATATTATATTTTTTAATATATATTTAATAGTATTAAATTTTATGTAATTTACAGGCTAATTAATTAGGATTTTGTATGATGCATATTGTCCTTTTAAATTTTTTTAAAGAACTTATTTAAAAACCTAGTCTAATTAATATTTTTAAAAATTAATCATTACATTAAAAGTTTTATATATACAAATCATGCATGTTAATTTTTGTATTTATATTAATGTAACACTTAAAATCATTTGATAAAAACACTATTTTTTAACATATATTGAAAATATTAAATTTTATAAAATCTACTAGATTAATGGAAAAATTTACATACATAATTTTTTTGAATAAAATCTTTAATTCAACGAGGTTAAATTTTAAAACAAGTCATCCTAAAAAGATTTGATAAGACAATCTGGAAAACACTTTTTCATATTTATTAAAGAACAATTGCCTTTGAAATTGAGAGTTTAATTTTTAATAAACCTCGTAACTTAAACATGCATTATTCTCGAACTACATTTCATTTCCTAAACAATACATGTCCCTGTGGACTTGCAATCAAACCTGAATTTGTGTATTTGGTAAGCAATACAGACACAAGTTGGGGAAAAAATCAAAGGAAAGAAATAATCTTAACTATTGCCAATCCAACAAAGGTAAATAGCCGATTTATTACAGAAACAAGTCTTTCTCGAGCTCCCGACTCTTATGTTCATTATCTTGCAAACTCTTAACGGACATCTCAAAGCATGTAACAAGCCTGAATAGTATCACACCAAACTGTGGAATAAAGACACAAGCATGGTCCAATCATGAGGTAAGTTCAAAAAAATAAAAATAAAAATAACAATTGTCTTAGTACTAGTAATATACACGAAATCTTTAACCAATTATATATATGTATTCTTCCCCTATCCAGCCAAACCATCGCTGCCATGCCCATGCATGAATCAACTTGAGTGTAATCCAAGGACAAATAACGGGGATGCAAAACCTGCCAATGGCCATTGCCGTGTGCATGTGATTGCTTTGCGTAACTCTTCACCTTTGCCATTTTCTCTCTGAAATAAATGAAATTCAAGCAGTTAAAGGCCCTGAGGCCTAAGTTTGTAGTCATTGATATGGACACTTTCCTTCCATACTAAGGTCGATAAGAAATGAATGGTAGAGGATAAACTACTCATTCTAGCCTCACACTTTATGTTAAGGAGACAAAAGCAAATACCACAAAACTCATCTGGCTTGAACTTAGAATGATGAATCCATGGGCCCACATTAGGTAATTTTCATTGGAAATAAAGGAGTAAATAAGCAAGTCCATGTGATTGTCAGAGATGCAATCAATTCAAGTAATTGCTGATTTTATGAGCAGTAATGAGTGTTCAATTAAGCACATGCATTTGCTCCAAGCAATTGCATACCAAAGCAGACCCACCTAAATGGCCTGTAGTCAAGTATGAAGCTCGAGTTGCAAGCTCATTAAGAGGTACTATGAATGGAGTGAGAATATAAAAGGCTAAGGAAATATATTTGCAAGACTAGGAACATTTCAAATAATTTAATGAAAGTTTAGAGCATACCATGAAGAGGAGGGGTACCATTTCCCTTTGCACCCTGCTGCGCTTGAGACATTGATCGCTGGATTCTCGGAGAGCCCTGCCTTCCATTTGCACCAGGTAAAGAATGCCTCTTCTTGATGTAAATGTCTCTGTCATGAAGGTCCGGGCTTGATCTAGGCGAGTTGTTTGCATGGACCTTAGCTCTTGCAGATTCTGTGGCTTGCATAAAATGGGGGACAGAGTTACTACTACTACTACTATCTCTTGGTTCTTGATCAATGTTCTCAGGCCTTGTAGAACCAAAAGAATTACGTCTCTTCCCACTTTTCTGGTCTTTAGGCAATTGTTCCACACTACTTCTTGCACCATAATCATTAGCTGGACTCTTGCCTGCAGACAGGGACTTGCGCTTTTGATTGCTTTTGTCAGTCTTGCTCTTTTTAGCTTTCACTGATACCTGGCTGGAAGGCGTTCCTTGGAACTCCGGAACAGTCATATGGCTTCTGGGAGAAGCTTCAGGAGATGCTTGGCGACCTGTCTCAGGGTCCAGTGCTCTCTGAGGATCAGCTGTGGCCTTCTCTGGCTCTTGCTCTACTTGTGGGGACTCTGGGGAGCCTACAGCTTCATCTGAATTTCCAGATTTATCCATACCATCAATTTTCTCTGGTTTATCAGTGACAGACTTGAACTCATTGGACAATGGGATGGAAAACATATTGTAGGATTTCTCATCTAAATCTTTAGTTGTATTAGAACTGGAATTTTCTTGCCCTAGAATTTTTTCTCCCTGCTCACACTCTGTGGTTCCAACTTCAGATCTATCAGGTGAATCAAGAGTAGAAGTAATAGAAAGTTCAGTACCACACTCAGAGCCCCCGTGATGAATCACTGAATTATTGTGGACTGGAGGCTCTAAGTTGCTTAGCTCCTTTGCCCTGCTGCTATCAGTTTCTGCCCCAGATGAAATGGTATCCACATTTAGTTCAATATCTTGATAAGATGAAATAATTGATCTACCTGAATAGGTAGTTGCACTCATTTCCTCAAATTTTGTCTGTGCAGCAATAAATGCAGGATTGCTTGCCTTTCTTGATCCAAAAACATACTTCTTTCCCTCAGTTTCCAGTTCGTCAGAAGCCAATCTCTTCATAGAACGTTTGGGTTGTTCATTCTCTGTTTCCAGCTTAAAAGGTGGCTCAGTTTCAGAATTTGCATCTGATTGTATAGTTTGATTTCTTTTAGAGCTTATCTCCATTGAGGTCTCATTATTAGAGATTGCTTCCTCCAAAGTCTCTTTCTGTTCAGATGTACTGGTGCTCTCAAGCTGAGCCTGCTGTAGATTATCCGTTTCTAAAGGAGTTGGCTGGGATACCTCAAACTTAACCTTATCTGCATCATAAGTAATCAGACTCTCTTCACTTTCAGATGGCACAATGGTTTCCCTTACATCAGACTTTAAACCAGATGACTCAGAAGAGGCTTCAGAAGGAGCTCTCTCATCCACAGGAGGGGCAACATCCTCATTCTTCTCTGTTTCTGGTTGATCATTGACAGCCTCTGGTTTTGGTGACTGTTCTGTCACTGAAACAGACATCCACCTCTCCAGCCAGTTCCAAGCAGAATTGGGTTTTAATGCATCACACTTGATGTTGATAGGCTTAGACTTTGTTGTAGATTCCAATAGCTTCAACCAAAACAAGAACCCAGTATGGTTTTTTATTCAATGCATTACTAGGAGGCAGCTGCCTACAAATAGTTGAAACAAAACAAATGGGAGGACATCAGTGCACCATACCTGACGAGCAAACCTATTGCTAAGCAGCTTCTCAAGAGAAGTGTATGTCACATCAGGTCTTGTTACTGACCTGTCCTGCTTCTGGAAAACAGAAAAATGATGATGGATAACACTGTTAGTGGACAAGAATCAAGGTAGCTGGTATTGCAAGTAACAAGAGATGCAGCATCCTAGCTGCTGCTAATTAAAGAACAATTAAGATGCTTCCTTCCACTATCTTTACCAACATTGAAATGTTGCAAATTAACTTAAGAACATAAGCTATCATATTTTGACAAAAGAAGGTTGCACAAAGTTGATGGCCTAATACAACCAATGTAAAACTGATGCAAACTAGAGTATTAGAGGAAATCACCAGCCTACTGTCTTGAAAACTATCACATTTAGTCGAAAGGCATTACCAAACTCAGGTTATCCTTTCCAGGCTTGCCATCTGACTTCTTTTCAGCATATATCCCTTCAAGAGATTGGCGAGCAAGACGTGCACGGACAAGAACTTGCATTTTGACAATTGCTTGAACGCAACGTAAAGTTCCCACTGCATGCTTTCGAACCAAGTGCCCCCGTACAGCAGCTTGCAACTTTACTACATTCTTACGTTTTACAAGATCTCTTTGTGCCTGCAAATAATTATCAAAAATACAGTAAGAGCAGCTATGTGGGAGGTTTTGAAATCCAGAATTAAGGAGGGAGAATTACCAAAAACCCTCTAATAGCAGTCTGAATGATAACAACAGACACCTCTGGGACAACATCTTTGTCACTCTCACTTGTGACAGTAATAGGCTCAGATTGTTGTACAGGCAATGGTGCCAATGCTTGAGGTTTCTCTTCAACATATGTTTGTGTGGAGGCCTTCTCAAGTTTCTCTTCAACGTATGTTCGCATGGAAGCCTTCTCAGGTTTCTCTTCAACAT